GACATAATGTACAACAACGCCGGTGTCCTTGATCGTCCTAGCGGGAGCATCTTAGACACACCCAAATCCGATCTTGACAAAGTGGTCGGCGTCAATCTGGTCGGCGCCTTCCTCGGCGCCAAGCACGCGGCGAGAGTCATGGTGCCCCGAAAAAAGGGTTCCATTTTATTCACTGCAAGTGCTAGTACCGCCATTGCAGGACTAGCAACTCACGCTTACGCGGCGTCGAAGTACGGAATTGTCGGACTGGCCAAAAACTTAACGGCGGAGCTTGGCCAACATGGAATCCGGGTTAACTGTGTGTCACCGTACGGTGTTTTGACCGGCATGACGGTGGTGCAGGAATCTGAAGTGCCGAAGGTGGAAGCTGCGATGAGCATGATGGGTAATCTTAAGGGAGAGGTGCTGAGAGCCATGGATGTGGCGAAAGCAGCTCTGTTCTTGGCTAGCGACGAGGCAAACTATGTCAGCGGCCTCAATCTTCTCGTCGACGGTGGATTCAGTGTCGTGAATCCGACAATCATGAGGGCACGCCAGATGAATAAGGAATTACTTTTAAATGATTCATTTAATTCTAAAAATCTTAATTAATATTTCTTAAATGTTGTGTTGTAAGCCACTAAGAGTTGCATGGACATGTTTATATATTAAAAATAATAATAGAATCCAAATAGATATACACACACACACATATCTATATAAATATGTCCACCGAAAATAAATTTTATAAATAATTTATTTATATATACAATTTATTGCAGTTCAGCATTTTCTTCTTTGAAAACGATATGCAGACAGCAAGCATGGAGAATAATCAGCCGAATTAATTATTTAATGACTTGGATTTTGTCCAAGATCATGTTTATGTTGTTTTCTTGAAGAAGTCTGAGTCATTGAATTTAATTTTTGAAAAAAGAAAAAAAAAAAAAAGTCAAAATGTTACAATTAAGAGCTTAATATTACACGCCATTTTCAGCATAAAGGAATTATATTATTAATATACAATTACAAACAGTTCAAAATACTTTCGCATATGCGTATAATTAATAATATTTATATTATAATTAATTTAATTATGTAAATTACGTTCTCATAAAAAAATAATTAAAATATTTAAAATTAACATATGATGAACAACGACAACACCATATCTCGTAGGAAAAGTCAATAATAAACACCTAGTAGCATATATTATTTATTATTTATTATGATTAAATAAATTATATATTTGAATACGGCAAATTGTTCCGTAATATCTCTGTTTTTGAACAAAACAATTAAAATTCGATTCAATAATATTATTGCATGGAGCTAAGATGGAGAGTATGGAAGAAATAGATGTTTCCAAGACTTAGTTTTTATTTTGAGCAATTATCTTTTTACAGAACTATGAGCTTCAGAATTGGACCCACGAGGAACATAACTTGTAGTGTTGGATAATTCCCTTGGAATATATAAGCTCGTACCGAAAAAGTCTTCAAGGAAAATTGAGAATATTAGTGACGATCGACATGAATTGTAATACTTGGAATATTTATATCATATAATGGTTGAAACGAGTTTAATTTGTTTGAATTTAATTTTTAATTTTCATAAAATGGTGGATTATACGCATTCTCAATTTCATAGTCAAGACTTTATAATGACCTAATTTGGCCTGCCCAAATGTTTGTTTTTTGTTGGTTTTAAACTTTACATGTATTTTATTGATGTAAATATATAAATAAATTGAGAAATAATTAAGTTGCATTGACCAATTTTTTTTTAGATAAAATTTTAAATGCTATTTTGGAGGTAGATGTAGATTGAATAGTGTATTTTTAATTAAGTTGGGACTGACCAATTCCCAGCAGATTATTAATGACGAAAATTTTTTATACAATTTTTCTCTTGGAAATTTTCTTGTTTCAATTCCAATATCTTTATAAGTAAGAAAGCTCGGTGAAGACAACGAAGAGGAGAAGAAAGAACAAAACCCAACCCTCCATTTTCTCTCTTGCTCGAATTCAGAACTTCAAAGGAAGAAAAACAATGGGCACAGAAGCTTTTACCACCGAGAGGTAATTAATTCATTTTTATATTTAATTATACAGGCTTTTATTAAATTTTAATTTTATTTCGTGATGTAACAAATAGTGAATAACGACATAATCTCTCTCTGCTAATTCAATTAAGATATACGCACATATATATTATTCGAAATGTTATGTGGGAAACTACAGGTTATCGGGCAAGGTGGCGATTATCACCGGCGGAGCGAGCGGCATCGGAGCAAGCGCCGTGAAGTTATTCCAAGAAAACGGCGCCACGGTCATCATCGCCGATATTCAAGATCAACTAGGTCAAGCTCTCGCATGTAAGCTCGGAAAAAAAGTCTCTTACATCCACTGCAACATCTCCGACGAAGACGACGTAAGAAACCTGCTCGATAAGGTCGTCGCCGAGCATGGAAAGCTCGATATCATGTTCAACAATGCTGGAATCATAGATCGTCCATTCGGGAGCATTCTAGACACGCAGAAGTCAGATCTAGAACAACTTCTCGCGGTCAACGTAGTGGGTTCTTTCTTGGGAGCCAAACACGCGGCTAGAGTGATGATTAACCAGAGGAGAGGCTGTATTCTGTTCACGGCAAGCGCTTCGACGGCCATTGCAGGGCTGGGAACTCCGGCTTACACGGTGACGAAGAATGGGATTGTGGGTCTGGCTCGGACCTTGGCGGCGGAGCTTGGTGAGTATGGGGTGAGAGTGAACTGTATTTCCCCGTTTGGGGTGTTGACGGGAATTGCCGGTCCGATAGATGAGGGTGATATACCCAGAATGGAAGAAAGGGTTAGCGCCATGGGGAACCTAAAAGGACACGTGCTGAAGCCGGAAGGGGTGGCGCAGGCGGCGATGTATTTGGCGAGTGATGACGCGGATTATGTTAGTGGGTTGAATCTGGTGGTTGACGGAGGATACAGTGTGGTGAATCCGACGATGATGAAAGCTATGAGTTCTAAAGAGACTTAATGGTGGACGGGGAAGGAGAGGGACTTGTCCGATAAGGCATTAATTCTGGAAGTTGAGATATTTTACTGTTCTTCTTCTATATATATATATATATATATTTTTTTTTTAAATAAAAAAGTCTTAATTAAATATATTTTGAAACAAATATGTAAAAAATTTAAAAAATTATAAATTAAACTCTATAATTAATTATTTATTTTTAACAAATCATGTTTAATTAAATTTCATTAATCACACAACACCGTGACTTCAATTAATGCAAGCCGAAGTAGTTAGCATTAAGTTCTAGTATTAAAAGACTCTATAGCATCGTATTTAAAGTTCATCGGTTTTTAATATTATTAAATACGTAAACTTTATTATTATTTTTTTATAATATAGTAGTGATAAATAATATTAAAATTTATTAATATATTTATAAAATTATTAATACCATATAATTTTCTTTAATAATTTATTTTTTTGGTTATAGAAAAATAATGTGAAAGGACGAAAACAGGTGAGCCAGTGCGTGAAATTGAATAAGACCCAGGTGGCATAAATCTCATAGTTGTTAAATTTCAGCTTATGCAAGCATCTTATATTTATATTTGTGTCTATTTATAAAATTAAACCCATTAATTGACTTTTATACGGGTAATATCTTACATATAATCAGGATTATGTACTAAGTAAGATCATAATTAATAGTGATCTGAAATAGCCTTTTGTTTTCATGGTTAACTTCCGTTATTTGCCCGCTCATATGGCACATTAAATTGTAGTCAAATCCAATTAGAATTATTTGCTTCTTATTTGATAACAGATTAATAGGGTCAAATTTAACATTATGTAAAATTGAAACATTAAATTATAAATTAATTAATTTTAAAATTATAAAACTTTACATAATCAATTTAAATGTGAGATTTTCTATTAAATTTTCTAAATATTTTTATAAATGTATTGTTAAACAAAAATCAAACATTAATTGTAACATCACGAACCCCAATGTCGGTGAGTACTGACATCAATATAATATTTTCAACTAGTAAAACAGATAAATATTAAATATACAACAGAACTATATTTTAATCCACATCTCTTGTAACTAGATAATTATTTGTTTATAAATAATTGAAGCATCTAAATTAATTTACAATATTAAAATAAAAACTAATAAAATTTTATTCGTCATCTTTCTTTGATCTTTGACTTCTTCTGACCTAAATGAGAGTGAATTGGGGTGAGGTTCACGAGCTTAGTAAGAAAAAGAATTCTATAATGGAGACTTACGTACATACATTCACGCAATATGTAAAATATAATAATATTTATAATTAAAGAAAATATCAAACAAAACATCACAATCAAATACACAACAAAACAAATCATCATACGAAACATATTCTAATTATCACTCTTTTAACATAATTTTTGTTCTCATTTCAAATCATACTTACGCTCGAAATATCACAATCTAAAGTTTTATCGCGCGATGCCATTTATATCGTCATCAAGGAAAGACAAAATGAATCTCCCCGTCGCATGAATAACATATACATATAAATCTCACAATGACCGCAGCAGATACGTTTGCTAAGTAACTCACACTCACAAATACCTATCAACATATGGATTAGCTTTCAAACTCTATCCATGTGCAAATTCACCATACCTGCTGAACTTAAGCCACACACACACCCTCCCTTCCTCAATTCAGACTAAACGAGTAGGTATTCAGGGTCCTTACACTTTACACTCTTTTTAAATCTCTCTTATTCTTAATTCACTTATTTCATATCTAAGATCTCAATTTTTACACATAAAAAAATACAAACACACACACACGCACACAAAATACACAATATCATCACGATAAGGGTCATATATTTCAAATCACTATCTGAATCATCTTGTACCAAATCACACAGTAAACACAAAATCCTCATATTCCTCACGCAACTTTACCAAATCACACAGCAAGTGTAGTGTATCCAATTTTATATGTACACACACTGGTTATACATTTCATATGCATAATATATGTACACACATTTTAATACACATACATATATTATAATACAGACATGTACTATCATTACACGTCTCACAAAAAAATATATTTATACTCACACATACATAATTTCTACTGATATATACATACACATTTATACTTAAACTGTAATGCCCAAATTAATTTTTATGTAATTTAAATTAACTTGTAAATATAATTTTTTAAATTTTTTAATTTTAATTTAGTGTAAAAATGAAGAAAATTTGAAGGAAGATGAAATTAAAAATAATTTTGAGAAAAAAAGGATGAAAATTTGGATTCTTGGAATATTTTAAAAGGAAAAATTGAAAACTATAAGTCAAAATACAATTTATAAAGTTGTGCCACATGGGATGGTCAGTAGCTCCGACGAACCAGAACGTGTTGTGTGACAACGGACACTGACGCGGTGTCATGCGGGTGATCTGCGTGCCTGCGATTAAACGATCCAGATTTGCTGTCGTGCACACGGATGGCCTAGATGTGTTCTCTCCCCAAACGCGATCGGACGGTCAAATTTAAACGTGATCAACAGTTCAGATCCACTTCCTATTTAAACGTGATCGGACGATTCAGATTAGATCGCAATGAACAGTCCAGATTCACTCCCTATTTAATCGCAATCGGACGGTCCATATCAAATAAGATAGACGACCCATATTAAATGGAGACGTATATAAATAACTCTTTTCACACCAAACCCTAACCTTAGC